GCGGTCGATGTTGGGGCGCTCTATGTTCTGCGACTCTTACACTACGTACATCCGGCAGAAACAGAAACTTCGGTATCCCGACCAAAGCAAGTCTTGTATGATGTCAAGTGCCTGTGTACCGCCAGGGGAACCGAGAAATAGTCAGATGCATCCTGAGACTTCACGAGGATCTAAACCGCCTCTCCCCCGAACCCTAAATCAAAGCAAACTACAGGTGGGGAGTTTAGGGTATGTAGGGCTTCTATAAGGCTTCTATAAGGTATATAGACCTTCCATAAGGCTCCTATAACGGTAACTACCCACCTGAAAATGTCCTAGACTAAATCCTAAACCTTCAGGTAAACTCACCTGTGCCTGAAGGAGGCCCAAGCTGGGGATTGCAAATTTGCACTCGCATATCTAGCATATACTACTGTGTGTGAACCCCTGCACATTTCGTCGCTGCGCCTCTGAACGTGCAAAAAGCCAGAAGCCTGGATTCGGGTGATTAGGCCTGACAGGAAGAACGAACAGAGTCATCATCACTAGCGACAGTTTGTTTCATACAGTGAAAGCAACAAAAACAAATTCTCTACTGCTGCTGCTCCTCCTCCTCCTTACTGCGGCTGCTGCGATGACGAGACCATCATGACGACGACGTCTACGACTGGGCCTACAGCTACAGCTTCGACCACCACTGCTTTAGCAGGACGCCGCACGTTGAGTGAAGATACTAGATCATACTGCACTCTACTTTACGACACCATGCAGTACCAATAAAAAACAAGATAGCGATTGGGATCTCTGATCTCCCCAACCTTGGCCTCTGACACTCCGGACGCTGCACTGCCTTGCCGTTTATGCTGCACCTGTACTAAGAGTTCGAGCATCGTCTTAGGGTTCGGGCTACTGGATTTGCTTGAACTGCGTAGCCTGTCTTGGGCCGCAAAGGGAGTCAGATGCAGATGTAGAGGTTCCTCCCCAGAGAACCCAAAACCCCTTAATTAAGCAATATACCTGAAACTATAAGGGGCTTATTATTATGATTTAAGGTATATTCCTTAATTGAGGGGAATTGGGCTCTCTGGGTCCACAAGAACCTACAAGACCGCGGCAATCTAGAAACAAGCTTCCGGGGATCAGGCAAGTTCTCTCTCCCCCAGTGCAAGACCGAACACACAAAACCCCTCAAGAAGCTGTAACCAACTGAACACGTGGCTCTTCGTAACAGAGTCTGTGGAAGCACCAGGTCTCCCCGAGATGATGTATGGAGTGGGTTTAGGGTTTAGTGGACAGGACATGGAATCGCCCATCGAGATGGGTTTAGGGCTTAGGGCTTATGTGAACACTAGGATGGGGATAGTGTCCAAAGTGTCGATCTGCCAGACCCCGACACGTCGTACTTGACGGCTTGACAGTTGCAACATTCTGGGGTTTTGAAATCATCACTGAGTCTGCCATCTGTACACGCGCCTGGCAGCTCAGCTTGAATTCAGGAGCAATGCACATACAAGCAGGAAGCAAACTACTTGTGCCAAGAAGCACCGACAGACCTTGAACAAGCAAGCCACAGCAGCATGATTGCAAAATTCCGGAGCAAAACACTCTGTGGCAATCAGTTGCTTGAGTCGTGAATGGGAAATCCTGCAAGGAAGGCCCTGGACCATGCTGGGGTTCAGGGTTTAGGGTCTATAGGGTTTAGGGTTTAGGGTCTAGGGTTTAGGGAATACTATGCAGAACTCACTCTGGAACATCCTAGCAAGTAGGTCAATTCGACTCATTGCTATGTTTCATTGCAAGGTCTCGGCGAGATTAGCAGAAGAGTGAGTATCAGGTTGACGAAGAAAATCGGCTGGAGGTTCTCGCGCTGCATTCCTGTCCTTTTTTGACGGTCGACCCCAAAACCCTGAGCTTCAGGCCTTAACCTTTCAACCTGTAAGCCTTGGAATTTTTTTGAACCCAGACTCTGCCAATCAGCTGTAGTATCATAGAAACCCTACACCCTGGCGTGCTCATGCCAAATGGCCGGGTGTACATTGGGAAGGCAATGTCAGGTTCTTCGATCTGGGATAGCCTAACAATCCCAAAACTATAGGGACCCTCAACTCTTGTTAGCCTTCTTACTTGTCCAACATCCGAAAGAACGCCAGGTTAACCTTTGGATCTATATAGAGGTCAAGGTATCCCAAAAGATTTAAAGTTACCTGCTCTACCTAAGAGGCATCAAGCAACTGATCGCGAACTCATAGGGCTCCAATGAGCCACTTTTCGAGTCGCAAGCGGCTGAGCCGAAGATTCCACAAAAGCTTCTAGACGGTTCGTTTTTAAAAGGGCTACTATAAGGATTGTGATTCAAAAGTTATTCGTTTTTTTGCCGAAGGGCCTTGATGATTTCGATCAGAGCTTGTGGCGTATATTTTAACATCAACTATATAGTAGAAGTATAAAGCGGACCAGGGGACGATGGGCACAACATGACTAGCTTGCAGGTTTCAAAGTTTAGGGTGCGTATTTAGCTGTGCCGGGCTTAGGGTTCACATGGTTAGGGGTTCAAGGGTATGTTTAGGGATCGTGGAATTGCCATAGAAGCGTAAATCTGACCTCATGCTGCACCTCGTGCAAACAACGGGGCGTTGGCAATAGTTAGAACACTGTTTTGATAGCCCGACTAGTTTTCGAAGCCCTTTTCTGGACCATCGACCCTCATGCCACTTCGGCTGTTGTTCTCTTTCAAAGGTATCCCTAATAAGGCAAGAAGTGAGCTCTATGCTGCTTTAGAACCTCAGCCAAAATCTTTAGCCCTAAAGCCCCATAGACTGCGGTTGTGCAATAATCCGAACGAAGTTCTTGGGCTTTTCGGAGCCAGAAACCATAACGAAGTTCCTGAGGAATCACTTGAATCACTGGTTGGACAGAAGTTGTAAAACCCCTTTCTTTAGCGATCTTTTTCCCTCTTACTCAGCAAGCACGAGCCCTTTCTTTGAGATTTTGCTTCCGGACTTCTTAAGACTTCGGCTTTGCGAGGCTTGGGGTTCTTAACCTTGTACGTTCTATTGGCGGCTGTAGGGTTTAGGGAGCTGCTTTTGTGACAAAGAAATTGCGAGCCTTTTCCTGGGACGTAAGCTTGTCCACGGACTCGACTACGCCCAACCTTCGATGCAGCCCCTTTTCTCCAAAAGGCCGAAACCTGAGTCCCTAAACTGATAACCCCAAAGAAGGCGATCCTCAACTTCATTCCTGGGTTACGACATCCCTCCTCAACCTTAAATCATCTTGGGCTTCAGCCATAGATAATTACATCGGGCGAGAGGCTCAGCCTCCGAGTCACTAGGCGTGCACGGCGCAAGTTTCTGACAACAGTTGAACCTCTACGGTTGGGGTGGTTTGAAGGGTTTTAAGGGAGGGTTTCATCAAAGGGTTGTATGACGGATCACCCCATGGTTTGGGGTTTTGAAGGGCGTTCTCTGGGATTTATAGGGCTTGTGTATAGGGCTCTATGACGTCTCTACACGGTTGTGGAAACAGTTTCAGCGGTCGCACTGAGCCTGCAGAAGCTCTAAACGGTGAGCTGTAGTCTCAAGTCTTACCATGTGCCTCTCTGTGTATGTGGTAGACCTAAACAAGAGTTCCGGACAATCGGGACCCCAAAAGATCCCCTTTGAATCTCCCCACTGCAGGTGTCCACCCGTCGAACACAAAACTGCATGACACTATTGTAAGTTTCAAGGAAAAAGGGTTTTAGCTGACCCCCAAAAATGCACCTTGTGATTCTGGTAGAAGTGCATCTACATGTGTGTATATACCTATAGGTACACACACGTTATGAATATATTTGTGTATGTATATATATAATATAATATAGATGCTGTATATATATATATATATATACACATGTCTATTTGCGCATATCCAACGAGGTCAAAGGTTACCTACCGCAGGCACTGCATAAACAAAAGACGCCCTCAACTCGCGGCTCTACAGTTCGGTTGTCGGCATGGCTTAGGGTGTAGGGTTTAGCGTTTAGGGAGTTCCTAGGGCCTAGGGCTAAGGGCTTCGGGTTTAGAAGCCCAAAAAACTCATCACAATGCTCGGTGTGCTTGTTGTAGTCTTACGAATTTGGTCTAGAGAGACAGAGGAACGATATTGCAAGCGATTGTTGCCTAAGATGTTATCCAAGCGCCGCGAATGCACCCAAAACTGCTCGCATGACAGGCTCTCTACACTCGAGGCTACGCGCATGCAGTCCGGCCACCTTTGAGACTTTGTTTCCTTTCTCTCCGAATAACCTTTTCATGCCAAGCTCTCAGAACATTCCTACTCGTTCTCCTCATCGTTACCTCTTCATCACGACATTCCGGAGCACCGTCAGCACCATAACTACGATCATCGACTTCCTCGTCATCGCCTCTGCTGGTTTCCCTGAGACATATCCACCACTATAGTATAGTTTTGCTGTGGACGGAGGTCCCTAATGCACAGGCCTTAATAATTAGAATAGGGTTTTGGGGCCCCAAAATAGGTAATTATCAAGGCCCCTAAACCCTAAACCTTTTTAGTAGCCCTTATAGAACCCTTTAAAGGAACCCCCAAAATAGTATAGGTACTTATTTTATTTAGGCCCCTCTATCAAGGCCGCTATCCTAAACCCTAAACCCTAAACCCTAAACCCTAAACCCTAAACCCTAAGAACTAAGAACCCTAAACCCTAAACCATGTTTAGTCAAAGGACAGGCTTAAGGCCGACCGCTCTGCTAAAGCCTCCGAGTGCCCAAGCGGGGCCTTTCTCTGAACGCCCCGAAGATCGGCTCACGTCACTTTTTCGTTCCTACCAGCAAAACATGTAGGGTTTAGGGTTTAGGGTTTAGGGAACACTCTCTGAGGCATCATGGACTATGCACATGTAGAAAACCGGCTGTGCGGTGGGTGAAAGCAAACTGAGAATCCGACATCTTGGTCCGTGCGAACTATCATGAACTGTTGATCTTTGCAACCCTTTGAAACACGGAAATAGTGACAGCCGCTCAGATGAGGTCAGCAATGTCCTTGGTGATTCGGATCGGGCCGTGGGGCTACCGTAATCCGCAGTCGGAGCAAAACAAAGGACATCATATCATGCCACTGCTGGGTTGCTGCTTGGGGCTTCAAGAGTTTGAGGATACTTACTATATGGCCGTATCCTGGTTTCTCTTTCAGGTACGTCTGGTACATGATTTGGTTGTTGCGGTTTGCCGTCGCCCATGGTTTTGCAGAGTGCGTTGAAACATCTGCAAAGCACGCTTGTTCAATCAGATATAAGAAGTTATCCTCTGAGTCTTCCCAGCTCCCGAACACATGGCGACAGTTTCTTCTGATTCCGAAAGAGTCGGGTTTGAGGCCTTGCAGATTTCGGACACATCTCTGACAGGCTGAGCAGCCGCCGGCATCTCCTCAATCTGGGTGTGGTAGAACTTTTCGATGTCTTTCCTGATGGACCGCGATAGGCGATAGGGAAAAGGGCCTCTGATTTAGCTTTGCAAAGGTTTCAGGCGTCCTTGACCGCAAATCCTGGAAATATTCGCGTCAGAGGCTGGAGTTTAGATACTTAGGCTGAGAGGACGTTTGGGCTCGACAAAGAACTCGGACCCTTATCTGGGTTGTCAGTCAGCTTCCTGCCAGTGGCACTGCTAGCCAAGTCAGTTTGTTGAAAAGAAACCCGGCAACATCGAACTCAAACGCATCAGACAACCAGCACCGAAGCCGAACTGAGGCCGCAGCATAGTTCGCACGTCGTTGTTCGTGACGAAATTGATGGCCACGCCTCAATCAGCAGCCACGGCATGTGATCAAGGAACACTCCGTGCAGGCTGCTTCATAGAGAGCGATGGGCGCTAAACCCAAACTGACACAAAGGACCCAAGAGTCGCAAGAGACCCTAAGACTAGGATTCAGGGTATACGTGGTATAGTGGCTGGAGCACTTGACACACTGCTGCCCCAGCCGTTTGTGGTACCTTGGCGCGCGTCCGAACTGGCATTCTGTTGATGACTTCTCGTTCATGGCTTAAGGCGGATCCCCGCCATAACCTGAGGAATATTCCCTGTATCCCCTGGGTGACGACAAAACGTGAACCTATTTCGTCCTCCTCAAGCATGCAATTTCAAGAGCGTTGCTGCGCTAAGGCCAGGCGCCCTTCCGGCCAAATCGGCCGCTGCGACCGATGCGATGGAGGTAATTCTCCATGTTGGCCTTGGAAAGGTTTCAGCTTGTATCTACTTTCTGTGCTTACCTGCAGCCCGTTGAGTTCAGAGTTGGGGAACACTCGGGGATGGCTATCGTAGGGTCACAAGCCCGAAATGCCACCACCTCAGTTCCAAGTCCCAAATCGATCATGTCTGGCGAGTTTGCCATTGTAGCCAGCATACCGCAAACACGAAACAGCTGGCGAGAGCAGGACAAAGAAACCTCGCTACCTTGAGAGGCCCGGATATACCTGCCTCAGCTGGTGCAGGGGTCATGGACTTTTGATTCAGTGAATTGGGTGTACCCCGACGAAGATAAACACTGACAGCAGCACAAGGACACGACTGATCGTTTTATTATAGAGCGGTATATCCCTCATTGTAAGGAGGCTTGGAGAAGGGACACGTCAAATTCCCGAAACCCCTCCCCCCTTCGCCAAAACAAAGGCGTTCCTTGGCTTCCGGCACACCGGATCCAGACCCCAGTCCGTCAACCATGAATTCACAAAAGCGTTTGAACTCCCCTTGTTTTCGAACTCTGCGTGAACGCTTTTACAAACGGTCTTCTTGTAGAACCGACCCTTTCTGTTCTGGAAGCCTTGTAGAAGCCCTGCAATGCAACAGCCATGATGGAACCAAAGCAACTGCAAAGCCTCCATGAGTGGTGATTTACTCAGGCAAGCAGCAGGGAGGTCGTAGTTGATGACAAGGGAAACCTACCGGTTGGGTGCTTTCCAAAGAAACCTAATCTGGACTTTGAAGTAACCAGGGGGAAAAAGTATAGACTTTGAATTCATAATGGATCCTTTAAGGAACAGGTCCCCAAAAAAGTATTAAAGTTTAGTACTCCAAAGCCCAGTAATTAGTAGGACAGCTCCTGACTAAAAGCAGCAACGACTAAGTCAAGCCATCCCTAGACCAGCGCCTGCGTGAGGCCAAGCTGTGCACTGACAGTATGAACTTGGCTTAGCCTGTCCACGATTTCGCTGCCATGCTTGTGATTCTTCTGGGTATGAATTCTACTTTGCCGGTCTCTGCAGGTGTTTGTAGATGATACCTGTGCTGTTGCTATTGCCCCCCGCGGCAGACACCAGGCATCACCAGGCTTCCATGCTAGGTGAGATTTCAACAGTCAGCTCACTCACTTCCGAGCATCGCTTGCGTGGATTACGGCAACGCCATCCTTCTGACTGCGCCGATGCCTGCTGCACATCGATCCCCCGTGCCAGCAAGTCCTGCACTGTAGGTCACTCACCTAAACCATGAAACCTCAAAGCCCACAGAATCTTGCATCTGTGCATGACATTGGAGATGTTGTTGTGGTTCATGCCAAGAGTCTTTGAATGCTCGTTCTGTTGTCGCCGCGGCTACCTTTTTCAACAATGTCTCTTTCAAATAGTGCTAGAATTCCGCTTTCTAAGACTAGTGCTGCTATGGGTAAATCCTTGAGCTAAGATGCAGCTCCTTCGACTCTGCTTGTCGGTTTCGGGCAGCTCGGCCGATTTACGCTGCACTTTCGATCCTGTGTCCCACATCCCAACTTCCTGATGTCCTAAACCTATCTTCATTTTGGCACAACTTGCGGGGGTCCGTGGAAATCAGCACGCGCGACGAACCGGAGCGGAACTCACCTGGGGTTGCTCAAAAGGCCTGTATAGCTCTATGCGTGGCAGTTACTGGCTGTCTTCGTAGTAGTCGCCGTGCTTTTGGAGATGTTTGATACAGACACAGCTCATGCAGGACTCCGATGGTTCGGGGATTTTTCGAACCAAGGGCTTCTACATCGGCTTGAGGTCGACTGTGCTTGAGGTTCGTGGGCTCAAGATGCAGAGCATGTGCCTGAGGATGAGAAAAACAGACACTCTGAATAATCCAGTGCAGGTTGATCCACCATAACTTATCCGGGCCTCAATAGCTGGTAATAGTTATTCTCCCTACATCCTTGGTAGTCCTAACATACCTAGCATAGTATGCCTGTTACCCTCTCTAATCATGAACCCTCCAAGACCCTGGAATCCTACGAATCGTGCGGCCACGCAGCGCATGACCAGGTCGCGCTCCTTTTGGTCCAACTCCGCATGCATGCCTGTCTCAGGTTGAACGGTTGCGGCTTTGCGTTTGGATCTATCGATAGCTGTGCTCCTGTATGTGTATTGAAGCCTAGCCGCACTGGTATCTGCCCCAGTACATACTTATCCAAGGGAGTGGTAAGTAGGTGCGGAAGCATGCATGCATGCATGGATAGCTTGCACCGTCAGGCGTGCAGATAACATGAGTTGGCGTTTGGGAAACGCCATGCATCCATTGTAAGGAATCGAACAACATCTGCCGGCATGTACCAATACGCATAGCACAGAATGTTAAGCGACAGCAACTCTCCCTGCCTCCTCCGCCCCCCGGCACACTCCTCAACCCCCAACAACAGCTCCAAACAAGCAAGCCTAACCACTTCCCGCCCCCCGCCTCCGTGCTTCTAACACTACAGACTCAAGGCGAGAGAGAGAAAGAGTAAGGGACTCGGTTCAAGGAGCGTAATTTATGCTAAATCCTTAAGGAAGCCATACTATTTACTAAAGGTTTTGACTTCTGATAAGGCCCAGGGGAGGATGACAAAGCGTCAGAGTGCTGCCGAGTTTCAGGAAACCGTGAAATCGCGCTTCTGGAGCTGATCCGCCAGGAAGTCCACCTGAACGCAGCACGTTTAGGGTTTAGGGGTTTAGGGTTCTAGTGTCTGAGGGGGGTTAGGGTGTAGGGGTTTAGGGTTCAGGGGTTTAGGGTTTAGGGGTTGAACATAGGATTTCATAGGCACAAATTTTACTTGGAACTCCGGGGGATGGCCTTGGCAGGCAACAGGGTTTTTTGACTTTCACACTCGGACAAGCCTGGCAAGGTCCACCACGATACTGTCTTCAGAGGATCGTTAACATAGCATCAAAGTAGGTTCACTTGACAGCAGGAGGGTTTAGGGTTTCGGCTCATACACTCGTGCACGCAGGCATGGCTTCATAGGTCCCGGACCCCCTACTTGAACATGTGTGACAGCCAGGACAGCGAGCCAGCAACAACAATAGGGTTTAGGGTTTACCTTAAGAACCCAAAACCCACTTTTTTGTAGGTTCTTATTATAAACCCTAATATAGGATTGATAGGGACCCCTACAAAAAAAAGTCGGCTTTGGGTTCTAAGGGTTTAGGGCATGATTCGGGCACCTATCTTACAGTCTCGAGGCTCTACGGAGGTCCTGCCCTGACTAGCTTAAGCAGAAAAGTTTAGTTCGTAAGTGCAGAGGCTCTAATTGTCCCTAAATACATACTGCCCTACACACTAGTCACTAGTCACTAGTCGGCTGATCCTTTGGGCGCAAGAATGATGCGTCCAGCGGGCCACCTCACTCAAAAGGCAGCGGCAGGAGCCATGTCCCAGAGTGTTTAGCATTTCAGCTTTTTGAGTTGCCAGGGCCTCTAGAGTTTAGGGCTCAGGGCTTCAGAGTTCAGCTTAGAGTTCTACTGGTTCAGGCTCTTGTGTGTGACCAGGCCTTGCGGCGCGTGTTGCAGTAGATGATGGCCTGCGGCGGGGGGGGGGGCTTCCAGGGATCCTACTTGGAGGTTCATGGGTAGTTATAAGTGGGGTTATAAGTCATATGGGATATAAGTCTAGTTAGCCTACTTAGAATCCCACTTATAACTACCCATGAACCTCCAAGTACCTGCAGTCCCGAATGAAACGATCGATCTGTCAGACACAGGCAACAGAATAATTCAGGCTGCCTGAAACCCTAGCATCACTGCCTCCGGTGTTTAAGTCTCCAACCCCACTACTCCAGCTTTCCACTATCTTTCGGCTTCACTCTTTTCTGCGCAACCGGCATGCAAAGAAAGCTACAAACCGGACTGCACCCTAAACCCCCAAACCCTTGCTACCTCTTGCTTCAGCCCAAGCCTTGAAAGCTCTGAAGCTGCTCGCGCACACAAAATCCAAACTCCAAAATGGTAGTTTCCGAAAATTAGGGGTACCCTATTTAGGGGTCCTTATAATAAGGATCCTACTATTTAGGGTCCTATATCAGGGTCCCCTATCTTCTGAAACTCCCAAATCATAATCAGCCGGCAAAGACATCTCCTGAACGGAAGCCCGAGCTGCCCTAAGCCCACTTAAAAGGTACGCACCCTAAGCCCCCTGAAAAGGGAACCCTAAGCCCCCTTAAAAGGGAACCGTAAGCCCCCTTAAAAGGGAACCCTAAACCCCCTTAAAAAGGGAACCCTAAACCCCCTTGAAAGGGAACCTGCGTCCTTCCCACAGCTCTGTAAATTCAAAAGCTTGCCTGTGTGATGGTCAGTGTCTCGTAGAGGTCGCAGAGGGTGTCCACCTTCCACTCCTCCTTCCTGTTTAGGGTTTAGGGTTTAGGGTTGGTTTGGGGTTTAGGGTTTAGGGTTCGCCGGTAACTCAAACAAATGCAATACCTCGCGAAGGTCACGCAATGAATCCTGTCAAGTGGGCTTAGTGAAGCGGCCGATTATATGGGGGGTAAGCTTCAAGATCCAACCAGGATTCGCAAGAACTATCTCCCATAATATCGTAAATGAAAGCCCGAGCCACCAAACCCTAGACCTACACCCCTCAATTCAGCCAGGCTTCTCAATGGCCACATAGAACTGCCGAATACCCTCCAGGGTCAACTCGTCCTGCTGCGCTTAGATTGTGCCGGGAACTTACGAGTGAGATGTTATGTTCTAGTCTTCTGTTAAAGCCTGAAGGTCTATGGTTACTTTAGGACTCCAGGGTTTGGGATTGGGGCCGGAGGGGGTTGCTCTAAGGTAGTGGGGGGGGGGGATGGGCGTTCGCTTGGACATGCAAGTGGAGGACTCTGTCAGAATTGTTCTAAAGCTCGAATAAACCTACAGCCGTAGAACCAGGATGTGGTGGAAAGTCGTCTCATTGTGCAAATCTCAGCAGCGAGACCATTCCCTCAATCCCTTGCTTTAGAGGCATTATATCTCAATTTCGCGAGTGTGGCAGAAGACCGAGCTGCCAGCAAGATAGATAGAGGAGATGTGCTGTTGAAAAATCAGTGCTACCGAGCCATGACTGGACAAGGCCAAACGCGAAAAGACACTCGCAGTATGCTCCAGCACATGGTTCGTGCGCTGTAGCAAGCGTGTGTGCCTTCTA